CATTGAAAGAAGGACACTCATCGTCCCAAAACGAAGACATCAAGTAAAACAACAGCCTCCCTGTCCACAACAAGGAACAGGTAACGGCCAAGGGCAACAAAGCATAGGAATCTACTCTCCCTCACTTCGTCTACGTCTCAGCTTAGAGAGTGGGGGACTCCTGATGGAGTATATGGGTCTGAGCCCCCGGACCCACATACTCGGAAGAACAGAAAGCATAAGACAACAAAGTGGCGCCCTCGTCGGCCAAGACGCCCCCGTCAGCCGAAAAGGGGCCAACACAGATTATGGTCCTGAGCCCAAGGAACCCGAGTGCCCTCGTCGGCCGTGCCCTCGTCGGCCACGAGGACCTCCCAGAACCGGATTTTATACTTATTCATTTGTACAGCCCATTAGTGGCTTTGTATTCGGCCCAGTAGTGGTCCGGTTGTAAATGGGCCTCCCAAGCCCAAGACTTGGGAGCCCAACCCTAATTTTCTCTATAAATACTCCCCTTGGGAGTAGTTATAGGGGTTACAAATTCATTCTATTGAAGCATATTATTGCACTTCTCTCTCTAGCTCTCACTTCTCTCTAGATATACTCTATCAATGTCGTTAGAGCAAAGTCTGGGACAAGCGATGGAGTTTTCAACGTCACGACAGGATACTCCGTGGGTGCTCGGTTCAGCTTTCAATCGTCTGCACATCCTGCACTGTCCAAGGTTGCGACCTTTCGGCGACCGGAGGCCAATTTTGCCGAGCAACGAACAGAGACCTGCGAATATGCTTATGGCCGATTTGGGCGGAAAATCATGGCAACTCACGATGGAGCTGTGTTCTGATTTCTTGTCCAGTGTCGTCAGCTAGCCAAGCGATCGATCTGATGGTATCTAGGCTAGGAACACAGAGTGTTCGCTCCATTTGTTTCCGTTGAAGAGTAAGACTGGATTCTCCCTCGACATCCAGGTTAGAGCTTTCTGATGCAAAACACAGTTCACCTTTGTAGCATTAGCCATCATTTTCTTCTATTCAAAATCTAGCTTCATCGGATTGAGCTAAGCAGTTAACATTTGTCGAATTCAGGATCTGCCAATTCGGAGATAAATTCCAATGAATATTGTTATAGTGTCTCTTCTGAAGGTTATGAGAATTATATTGAAGATAAACTCTATACTAAATCCAGTGAGATAATCTTCCAAAATTTTTCATTATTCTTCAAGTAATCATTGAGCTCTCTATGTTTCTCTAATTTTGAAATGTTTGCTCCTATTCCAGTATGTTTGCTAGCGGCTCAAGTCAAATTCCTAGGATAAGAGCAACATCATTTTAAGCTTTGGGGGTAATTCTAGGAAGGATGTGAGTCACTGAAGCACAACAGTATAGATACTTCGTGCCTTTAGCTAGTTTCTCCACTTCAACTTTTTAATTTTTTTCTTTTGATTGTTTTCTATTTTAGTAATCCATATAGAATTATGAATATCAATCTAGATAGTAAAAATGTAACAATAAAATATGAAATTACTTTTTGTTTTATTTTCAATGTTATGTTTTATATAGTAACTCTTAATATCCTGATTCTAGCATTTTCAAATTAGGTGACTTCATATGAAAATATTTATTATTTTTTATGTGATTGTATTGTGTCATATGTAGGATTATTGAAGGTTTACTTGTGCATTTTGGCATATTTAATCTTATAAAGGGTTGTAAATTTGAATAAGGTTCAATGAGATGTTCTATTCACTGTTTTATGAGATGTCATTGCCAAACTTATTATATGCTCAATGAATTTGTAATATCAACTCATTTTTGTCAAAAAAAGCAAAGAGCACATTGTTGATGATTCTTGTACTTGTTATTTGTAATCATGAGTGAAACAGGCCACTGTAGGACAAGTTGTGAAGGACCCTCTTGCTGCTAGGCTGCTGCTGAACCCGTTTGAAAGTTATCAACGCTCTATTCTATCCACTGCTTGATGATGGCATTGTAGTGTGTGTGTGTGTGTGTGTGTTGGTGTGTGGATGTGGGTTTTACAGTTGTCACTGATATAATAGGAACTAAGTGTATGGGATTATCTGCAATATTCTTCAGATTAAAGTTATTAGCTCAAGCTGAGCAGCAAGAAGGCCCAGCTGCATCATATTTTTGTTTGTCTGCAACATCTATTATGGAATTTCTGTATGTTTTGAGAATTAAAAAAATATTGTTGGATTCCAGGTTCCAACTTAAACTTGTTTTGGTACATGATAATAAGGCTATTACAATTTTATTTTTGTTTTTTACAAGGTTCCAATGCATCTAAAACTATAGAAAAGAGAAAGTGGTTGGGACAAATACCTCCTGGATCAACAAAAGGTGCAGGGACCGTAGCTCATCTTCTTGGACATCTGTGCTGATTTCCTCTTGTAGTTTAGGGTTTTCTGAAGCAGCAAGAGCTTGTTTTACTTAGAGTGCTAACCCTTAATGAATGTGTAGTGTACATGACAATAAGTTTATGCAGTTGTTGACTCTTTGCTTTTTGTCCTCTGAATTCTGAATTGCCACCCTGAGTTTCAATAGCGAGTATGTGTTACCTATTGATTCCTTTAGAAGAAATATCTTCATTGGTGTTAATGTGTTATACGATAGGGCATGATAGATGGTTTTGAGCATTTGTCTCTCTGTGTAGAGGCGTGTTAAGTGTAAACCCAAACAGGCTACTTGTCTTGCCATATGCAGTCTGAAATTGCTTAGAGTGCTTATTTTTCAATTGGCCGTTCTACGCCGTCTTTTGAATTGGTCCATGGTTGATCACCTTATTCCACCCTAATGCAAACTAATTTGTTTGCATGTAAAAAATGTTGTTGCTCTTTGTTGCAACAATATGTTACTTTTTGTTGTGTTGTGTTGCATTTTGTGAAGAGAATAGAAGATATTCAACCTTAAAGAATTGTTAGTTTGTTACTAAGATGCATCAAAGGAAGTGAAGGAAAGCCAAATTATATAATACATACATGTAATACATTGAAATACTAGATTGAATTATATAATTGATGTGATATTTATATATATTGTTTTTGTTGCTTTTTGTTGTACTAAACGTGTTGCTTTTTGTTGCATCCTGTTTTTCTTTGTTGCACCGTGTTGCATTTTGTTGCATTTTATCACTTATTTTTATTTTATTGTTGCTCTTGATTTTTGTTGTTTATGTAGGTTTTTATTTAGCTTTGATACTTCTTTGAAGTAAATATATATATATATATATATATATATATATATATATATATATATATATATATATACATATATACATACATACATATATATTAAATCATCAAAAATGATAAATTTGAATTTATAAAACAATAAAAAACAAAATTCATAGTTATCAACAAAAGGAAACAAAAAGAAACAATATGCAACAAAAGGAAACAAAAAGAAACAATATGCAACAAAAGGAAACGAAAAGAAACAATATGTAACAAAAGGAAACAAAAAGAAACAATATGCAACTAAAGGAAACAAAAAACAACAACAAAAAACAATAAAATTATATATTCATTTATTGAATTTATAATTTTTTTACTTTGTATATATTTCGGTTCCTAAAATAGTAACTGTTTCAAGAAAGTTTCTTATTTCCTATGATAATTTTTAATTTTTTTAAACCACCTATATATATATATATATATATATATATATATATATATATATTAACAGTTTATATATTTTAGAGCTTAACTTTACTTTTTCATTTTTTGAGAACTTTTTAACGTTTTATTCTTTAATGTCTTTATTTATATATTTGCATTTCTGTTTTAAATCAATTTTATATCATTTTAGTTATTTGTGTTTTTTACTGTTTTAGTATTTTTATATAAATTTGAGGGTATATGAAGTCTTCTAAAAAATAAAGTTACAAAAAATTGTTACTTTTCTACAATTTTCCCACTTTATAAACTATTTTATCCTTTCACATTTTTTACTTTTGAATTTTGTATTTCCAAATTTTCTATATGTTTGTAACATTTTTCTGATTTATTTTTTTACTTTAAATTCCATTTTTTCAAATTTATCTTACAAATATTCTACTTCGATTTTTTATTATGCATTATTTGATATCTTAATTTGTTTAATTTTTTTCTTTTTATTTTATCTAATTTTAGTACTTTTATTATTTTCTAATAATCTACATCTTTTTTTACATTTTAGCAAATATTTACATTTTTTCTATTTAAAAACATGAACTGAGTAAGAGGTAGCCTACTAACAGTAACCTACTAACTCCCAGAAAAGGAAACTAACGGCACAGAGGTTAGGATACTAACGGTACAAAGGTTAAAGTTTTAATGCCACCGCGTGAAGCCTTAGAGTGATAGAGTCTATTATTGAAATAAAATCTTGATTAGTCTATTTTTGAAAAGAAATTTCAAAAATGAAAAAGTGATATTATTTTGAGTTTTGAGACTATTTCTGAAAAATTCCCCAAAAAATTGGATTTACCCGGCTTGACCCAGCCCGCCGGGTGGCCCAACCTGTGACCCGGGCGGGTGGCCCGACCCGGAACCGTCTTTACCTCGGGCTGGTCCCGGGCCCATCATTTACAAACCGGAGGCCCGATGGGGCCTGAACCGGCCGGAGTCCAAGCCTAACGCCAATAATTAATAAGTGTTGTATTTGTGTGTTAATTATTCAAATGTTATGCACCATTGTCATACTAGGAACTAGGAAGTCTTTGTGTACTCCGTATATTGTAATATTTGCACTTGTATAATGTTTAATGTTTTGAAATTTAGGAAGTCTTTCTGTTAGCCATTACTAAAACATTTAATTTTTGATGTATAAAGTCATTTCTTTAAAAGTATTGAGCAAAAAAAATGAAACCAGGACTTGTCCGGACAGGACCAACCAATCCAGCCGGCCCGATTTGGGACCCGGTTAAAAGTGGACTTGTTGCTAGGGATGGAGATCTGGCCGGTTCCAACAATAATCGGAACCTGTGTCCGAATTGCGCCTGGTCCCAACTCATCTTTGGAGAAGAAACAATTGAACGAAAATGGAATGCATTCACAAAGCAGCAAACAATGGGTGAAGCGTAGGTATATAATAGTACTATCTATGGGTGGGCGATATGAGTGCAGCTACATGATTATTGATTAGCTATGAAAGCAAACAAGATTTAGCGATTTACTAACTATGCCTTCAGCTTCCCACTCACCCTACGCTTGTTCTGCCATCCATTCCTATCCCCATTGATTTGATTCTTCTTTGCTGCCACACAACACTGATCCCCACCTTTTCCATTCATGTTACACTGAATCTTACGCCTCCTCATTCTATTCTCTAACCTTAACCCTCTCAAAGCACGCACTCTCTCCTCTATTTCCAACGCATGAGAGAAGTTCCATATCCTAACTGCACCTTCTTCACCCGCACACACGATCCGGTCCAAACCAACATCAACTGCAAACAAATTGGACCCGAATCCATGCAGCATTCTTTGTGGAGGCTCAATGCTTTTAGCGTCAGCTTGGAACCTGGAAAACCCTGGAACAGAAAATAGGGAAACAAATTAGAATGAAGTAAAATCTGAAGGAAAGTAAAAAGATACACTCAAACTCAATAAAATCAAATTTTAGTATTATGTTCAAACTCATCTTATTAATCTATTCTATTACTCTCTCTTGCCTCATATATTGATTGTGTTGGAATATTTCACACGAATTAAGGAATCATATAAAAGACTTACCAAGATTTATAATGTTATATGGAGTATGATTTTCTTTTTTATTAGTTATTCTTTGAAAATGTCATTTTTTATCACAAAGATTGTGCCTTTTTATCTCAAGATATGGAACATTGCAGTATTTACTGATTCCAAGGAATACTTTACTGAGAGTTATCGTTTCCAATACTCATCCTGCAATTACTAATCATTTAATTTGAAAAGATTAAAGTGGAGCTAAAGGAGAAAGAAAAGTGGATGTATGTCTCAAATTCCTAAAATGACACTTGATTTGGAACAAAATTTTAATGCTAGAGTGACTGATCATTTGTGGTGGGGGGACACAATGAGTAAGAAATCTATACACGCGCACACACAAATATATAATTGTTTAAAGAAACTAATCATGTTTCATTTTCCTTTCCATTTTTTAAAGTAAAATGAAACAAGAGGAATCACAAAAAGTATGTTTTTTCCTTTCCCTAGGGAGTCAGTCATACCCCTGTGGTGGTTCAGATTCTCAACCTTATAAGAGCTCGTAGAGGCTGAATACTTACTCGTCTTCAACAACTTCCTCACATCAATGAGTGCAAGTTTACCATCACTTGAAGCAGAAACAAGCCACGGGAACTCAAACACGAGAGAATAAACAGGGCCTGAGTGAGGAGCCCACGTGGCAGCCTTCCTCAAACGCAACCTTAGATTCTTCACAACATCAAACATGTGTATGGTCCCGTCTTCTCCCCCGACGAATATAAGCTTTCCAGTGTGGCTCCTTGCCAATGAGTAAACATTACCCATTTGTGCATTGTCAACAACAGAAAGTCTCATCCCGGATCCGGCGTCCCATAGATATACGCTTGATCCTGAGGTGGTTGCCACTGTTGTATCATCATGAGGGGCGAGACTCCAAACCCAATCATTGTGCATCAGAACTGTCAAACATTTCAATGAAGAACGATCCCAAACACGGACAGTCATGTCCCACGAACCGCTATAAATCTTGTTGAAGGCCACTGCAAGACAGGTTATAGGACCTTGATGTTCCCAAAGTCTAAATTCTGTGTTTTGGTTCTGAGGAGATTTAAGGTCAAATAACAAGCGGGTGTTTCCCTCCTCTGCCCTCCAACCGTGTATGAACCCGTCGGTCCCACCAGCCAGCAGTAGTTTTGAATCAGCGGTAACGGCACGGACAGTGCAACCAAGAGGGCGGGAAGACGAAACAGAGAACCCTTCTTCCAGGTCCCACATTCTCACAATCTGATCATACCCAGAAGTGAAAACAAGCTTCTTTGAAGACAGGATGAAAACCGCCCTAACTGCTTCAGTATGACCATATAAGGTGTCAACAGTGTATCTACCTAAAAACGTTTTGCTACGAAACTCCCTCTCCACAAAAAGGTCCTTCCATTTCGTCTTCAAACCTGAGCTATCCGGCCCCAATGCTATTGTGACCGTTGGATTCCCCCACCTCTCACAGTAAAACTCCTTCCACACTTGGTGCTCCGATGCAACCTGATACAATGAAGAATTGACGCAGGAGACTATGCCAAGCTCCTTGGGGTCTAAGCAGTTGAAGATTTCAGATATTAAAGCTTGAGGGAGATCGTTTATTGATCTTTGAGTAGGTAGGATTTCGTCACCATTTGTAATAGATACACAATGCTTGGCATTCAATTTCAATACGGGTTTTTGAGTATCAGAATAAAGTGTGTAATCTTGATTGCTTGAAGATCCGGATAAATTATGTTCAGCTTTGCTTATGCCAGAGTTGTGTGAACAGTTGAAGGTGTGTTTCCATGAACCAGTTTCAGAAGATTGGTGGCATTCAAATGCCATAGAGGTGTTCGCTGAACTTCTTTTAGAGAGGAAGAGAGAGAAAAGCTTCACGATGCAATATATCCGATAATAGAGGATATTTTTTGAATGAAATTGATCATAAACATTCAATGCGGGAAAATGATAGAACAAAGAAAGATGTCCAGTTAAAGGTAAAACAATAAAGCGACCTAAAAGTGAAACCCTAGAACGATGAAATCACAAAAACAAAGAAGAATGAGAGAAAAGCTAGAGCCGTGCGTCTCTGTTGATGGAAAATTTGCAGGGCGAATAGGAGGGAGGATGAGGAACACCTTGAAAAGAAGAGCGGAATGTTGGAGGGAATTAGCAAATACCTTGAAAAGTAGGATTTTAATTGGGGAAGACGAGGTTAGAGAGTCGCTCGCAATTTTGGATGTATTGCTCTAACCCCTGAAAGAAAGGGTAAAGGGTGGATGTTTGCGCCAGAGCGAGGTTGAATCTTAATTCCATACTTCCTCCGGTTCTTATTTAAGTTCCCAGTTTAACTTCACACATATTAACAAAATGAATTTGACTTTACTGTGGAGTGCACTGTTTGGCACTGTTTAGACACTGTTTGGCACTGTTTTGCACTGTTTTGTTTCCTAAAATGGAAGTGTGAATTTAAATAAGGGACACCCCAAAAAGGAAAGTGGGAACTTTAATAAGAACCGGAGGGTGTATAAAATTGCCCAAAATAGGATCAAATCAGATTTGGAATTCCAAAATAGGACTAATATATTTTTCTTCTTGAAATAGAAGTTGTTACTGTCATGTATGAAAAATACTGTCATGATTCAAAAATATTATACTCCCTCCGTCCCCTTTTAAATGTCCCGGAAGAGGGTGGTACGAGTTTTAAGAAAAGTAGGTTTGTGTGGTTGATATTAATAGATAAAGTAAGAATAAAGTAAGAATAAAGTAAGAATAAAGTAAGAATGATTTTGAGCCACACAAACTTTACCAAATAAGGTATGAGACAATTAAATAGGAACATCCCAATATGGTAAAATGGGACATTTAAAAGGGGACGGAGGGAGTAATTAATTATAATAAATACTGTCATGTTAAATGCACTGTACTGCAACTATTTGATAGTCACGCCTAAAATACTGTCATGTTAGTCCTATTTCGAGAATAAAAACATAAAAGTCCTATTTTGGAATTTCAAACTCCATTTACTTCTATTTTGAGAAATCTCCCTAATTCAATAATCAAATATCTCAAAACTGTCGTACTTTAATAAAAAACTTACATTAAAAACCCTTGCATTGTAACAAAATAACTAAAAACTCATCAAGTACAATTTGCTAAGTATTAATCAAGCCCGCATAATCTATGTCATCGATTAATTGTTTCTCAGTTAATAACATAACTAATTAATTCAACCTTTCTTGAGACATAGTTGATCGTAAAAATATCTTTACAAGCATAAGCTTTGAGAAACTTCTTTCAACACTTGCTATTGTCATGAATATCGTCAACAAGATCTTATATGAAATGTACACATTAAGAAACTATCCATCCTTTTCAAGCAATTCACCGCATCGATTATAGATTTGATTCTCTCTAATAAAGAATACTTCAACAATGCCAACTCTAAGAACAACTCATCACGATCATCATTAGAGCATCCACTCTGAAGATTATTGCAAGATGCGATCACCAACACCTTGTAACCTCCTCGAATGAAATAAAAACTCAAAAGTTTCTCCATACTTCTTAAAATGTTCACAACTTCATTCTATAGATGTTTGGCCTTTGTCAACTGTACAAAACAAAATATTCAAGGCGAGAACTCTCCTTAGTTGACCGTGTGACTTCTTCAGTGTTACTTTCATCAAATTACTTCTTTCTTCAAATAATTCATTTTTCACAAAACGATGCTTCAATTCCGAGCAACTAGCCATTTCTTTGGCTTCATCAATAACTTTTTCAAACCCAGTATTTCTAATTTTTTCGATAAATAACACAAGTCCTTGCAAAAAATGCTACTTTTCTTTTAAAACAATGAATTAATTCGTGTCTGTTCATTTCTCTCACTGCACAAACTAACTAGGTAATGTTGAGTGAGATGAAGGTAGTATTAAAGAAAATTCTTATTTGCCAATTGCATCCATTTCAGCGGTACATTTTGTGACATCGTTATTTGTAAAGTCTGCAATCTTATACTACCAATTCAATCCTAATAACACATAAATTACTGTTAGTTACTCCTATTACATACTTGAATCACCAAAACCAATGAAAACCACAAAAGTTTGGTACATAAATGTAGACATTAAAAGGAAGTGATGTTGATCTCGTCACTAGTAAATGTGAATTTTATCCTTGGACGGAGAGTAATACTACTATCCATCGTTCTTGAATTATATTCCAAATTTATTTTTTCGTTAATCCCAAAATGATCTCTCTCTTTTTGGCAAAGAATTTATGATTCATAGCGCTTCTTACATATTCTTCTAGCTCTCCTCTGCATAAATCCTTAAACATATTTCTCAACTTCTTAGTTTCATTTATCATGATAAACTAAGAACAAATGAAGAACAAATTGAGAGTAGTTGAGAGCTAGGCTTTCATTTAGGAAAGTCTAAGTTTACAAATGAAGAAAGGAACATATAAACAGGAAAGGAAAAGGTTACAAGGGAAATAAAGTCAAAACACAAATAAAGGCCTAATAAGCTAATATCTCCCCTCAAACTCACAATGCGACGACAATAAGCATTGAGAGTTTGTCTATCAAGAACCGAAATCTGGGGGCGGAAAGAGCTTTGGTGAACATATCAGGAATCTACAATGTAGATAGAACAAATGGCAGCGAAATAGTTCCAAGCTGGAAATGATGTCTAGTGAAGTGACAATGAATCTCGATATACTTCGTTCGCTCATGAAACACAGAGTTCTTCGCAATCTGTATGGCGCTTTTATTATCACAATTCAAAGGAGTGGGTTTAGATATAACAACACCTATATCGGCAAGAAGCTATCGTAACCAAACAATCTTACAAGTAGTCACTGCCATAACACGATACTCAGCCTCTGTGGAAGATCGAGAAACAACTTCCTGTTTCTTACTTTTCCACGAGATAAGAGAATCTCCAAGAAAAATACAGAAACCAGTAGTAGACTTGCGATCATAAATATTAGTGTCCCAATCAGCATCACTATAGGCACGCAACTCAAGAGAAGACGTCGATGGAAGCAAAAGACACTTAAACTGTGTACCTCGAATGTATCGTAAGATGCGAAGAATGACACCCCAATGAACAGTAGTAGGAGCTGTAATAAACTGACTAACGATATGAACTGCATGAGCGATGTCAGTTCGTGTGATAGTAAGATAAACTAAAGTACCCACAATGGTGCGATACAGGCTCAGGTCTGGTAAAGGAACACCGTCCGTAGGAGTGTAGCGCGTGTTGGTTTTAAGAGGAGTATTCTCAGTTCGATTGTCAGTAAGACGAGCTCGCACAAATAAATTTGATATATACTTCGTCTGAGACAAAAGGTAACCTTTGGGAGATTGAGCAACCTCAATACCCAAAAAATAACGAAGCAATCCCAAATCTTTCATAGCAAAACGATAGGCTAACTCCTTTTTCAAGGTTTCTATCCCGATCGTGTCATCACCTGTAATAATCATGTCATCAACATAAAAAGATAACAAGATCCGTCCGGCTTTAGAACACCTGAAAAATAAAGCTGAATCATGATGGCTCGTACTGAATCCAAGAGAAGTAACCACTGTAGAGATTTTCTCAAACCAAACACGAAGGGCTTGTTTGAGGCCATACAAGGCTTTACGAAGCCGACAAACTTCTCCTGGCTGATGAGCAATACTCGGGGGAGGAGTCATATAGACCTCTTCATGAAGATCACCATTCAAGAAAGCATTCTTGACATCCATCTGGAAAATCTTCCAATGTCGAACAGAGGCAAATCTATCAAGGTACGAGCAGTGGTCATATTTGCAACTGGTGCAAAAGTCTCCTCATAATCCATGCCATACTGTTGGGAGTAACCTTTTGCATCAAGTCTCACTTTGTAACGCTCAACAGAACTGATGGATAGTGTACCCGGGGGTAGCTTATCCGAGAAGTTATTACAGGGAGTAATAAGAGAGAAGTCAGAGCAAGTAAATGTAGAGAGAGAAAGTATATTATAAAGTGTGGAGCGTTTTCAGCGTGTTATGACTTGGTTACAAATGGGGAAATGGGGTGCTATTTATAGTAGCAATAAATGCCGGACAAGGACACGTGTCAAGCGCCCATTGGCCGAGAGGTCATCTCAACTAGTTGGCGCTGGCAGCCGCATGTGGCCGCATTTAATGCGGCTGTTGGATGGGACGTTTGTACAGGGTACGGTGATCTGTACGCATGTGGTGCGGATATCATGTCGGGAAAGGTGCCCTCGGCTGTAGAGGACTAGCCGAGGGCTCCGAGTACTGGGGACCCCCTTGGTGCCGAGGGCTCCAGGTGCCGAGGGCTACTGATTTTTGCCGTTTTTCCCAGTAACTTCGTTTTGCTGTCCTGGCCCTCCTGTGAGAGTCAGAGCCTTCGGCCAGGGGGCCGAAGGCATCCCTGGTGCGCATTGTAGGCTGCTTGGTACTCTGGGCGCTGCGATTTGGGCCTGTTGGGCCTTCCGGGCCTGTTGGGCCTTGTTTGGAGTAGTAGGAGTCTGTGGGCCGGGGGTTCCCGGGCCATATACTCCATCAGGAGTCCCTCACTCCTTTTGTCGAAAGGTACTTGAGGGAAAAGGAGTAATTTGTGCTTGCCCTTTGATGTTGTCCCGTTGTAATCTCTGAAGTTGGTGAGGAGTAGTTGCTTTCATGTCCCTGCCGAAGGCAGTCCCTCAGTTACCCACATGTCGGGACTTGAGGGATTGCTTTGCCGTTTTTTGGAATTTTTCACCATTTTGTAATTTAATGATTTTCCCGAGGGGGTCCTCCAGTCCCCCACTCCTTGAGGCACTTGTAAAGTGGTGAAAAGGAGTAGAGTAGTTGCGCTGCTGTTGTGGGCCGAAGGCTGACGCTTTTCGTTTCATTTTGGGGGGATGCCTCGTTAAAAACCTCATTAGGAAAAACCCTGGGGGAAAAAATCCTAATGAGGGAAAAAGAGTGCACCGAATTCCCCCAACGATGAATCGAAAATGTGAAACCTTGGTCAAAAATGGAGAATAATGGTAATGCCGAAGGCTCTCCTTGTTCTGAGGGCTCATGTGTTGAGTAGCCGGAGGCTTGCTGGTTATGTCCTGGGAGGTGCCGAAGGGGAGCCACTCGATCTGGGGATCGAGGGCGTGATGGATGAGGGCAGTAGTTGAACTGTTACCGGGGTGTCCCCTGCTTGTTGATTAGTTGGTGACGAGGATATCCGAGGGCTCCCATTACCTGTGTGCCGTAGGCTATCCGTCAATGAGGCATACTCCCCGGGGGCTACCCGGCCCTTAAAGTGCTGA